AATCCATGTCCCCCATCCCGTAATTACGGGTTCCGGGGGCAAACACACCCCTACCATTCTCTCTTTATAATAATAATAATAATAATAATAATAATCTTTATTCAGCATTTTTGTTTTTTTGATTACATCATATTTGTAGGTACATTTAAATAATTTTAAATTATTAGAGTAATTGACAGGTACCTTATACATTAAAAGTATTTGCTGCCCATTTATGACCATGTGGTTGCGCATGGGCTGCCGAATTACTAACTTTTTTTTTGAAATCATTTTTTTTTTTAATCATTTTTTTTTTTTTTAATACATTATTATAGCTTGACATGTATAAGTTCATAAAATCTAATTAAATTAATTAAATAATACATATTAAATTATAAACTGAATAATAACAATATAAAATTAGCTAAAAAACGCATCATTTAAAATACAAAATACATATGAAATATAAATAATAAAGAAATACAAAATAAAAATATCACGTAAAAAGTATACAATTACAACTAAATTATAATATATAAGTTCGAATACTTGTATATTTAATCAATTATTTCTCTTTGCGTTTTTCTATCCGAATTAATAAGAAATTTTTTGATGAGAGATTTAAAGAGTTCAACGGAATTTATGATTTGTAAATATGCCTTGTACATATCCGGAAGATAATTAAAAATTTTTGCACTTAAATAAATATAACAACGTTGTGCTATTGTTTTATTTACAAGATGGGTACCAACTTTTCCTTTATCCTTGCTTCTTGTATCATAGTTATGGGTAATTTTGTTTAATAATTGTTTATTTTTGTAGATTAGTATTATAACTGAGTATATGTATAATTGTCGTATATCCATTATTTTTACTTCCTCGAACAATGCATCTGTTGAGTATCTAACTTTTTTGTTGTGTATTATTTTTAGAATTCTCTTTTGTAATATTTCAAGTTTGGATATGTGATTTTTGGTTGTAGCACCCCAACAGACGATTGCGTATTGTACACGACTTTGGACTAAAGCATAATAAATAGTTCTTAGGTGAGTAACTTGTAAAATATTTTTGAGGTATTTAAATTTAAATAAAAGAAGTCTTAAGGTATTTGTTAAGTTATTTATATGTGCGTCCCAACGTAAATGACAATCTAGGGTAACTCCTAAATATTTTATTTCATTTTTTTTTTCCAATGTTATTTTCTTTTTATTATAAGTTAAGCTAATGTTACTAAATTGAGGTAGATTATTAGAGTAGCTGACAAATGGTAAAACAAAAGATTTGTTGTAATTTATGGTTATTTTTTTATGGGAACACCAGTCTATTATTTTCTTTAAATCTCTTTCAGTTTTCCGTTTTAGATCGTCCCAAGTTACAACTGCACTCTTAAAGGGGCTTTTAAAAATATTTTTTTCACATTCGAAATTAGCTTGTTAACCAAGGGATATTCTGTTCTCACAGTTTCTGCAACTTAGTTTATTCCATGCAGAAGACAAGTAACCTGGACCATATTTGGATAAAATATTTTTAAGTTTTGCCCTACTTTTATCATATATTATGGTGCTGCGTCAGACAAAAACACTAAGAACTCTGAGGGAATTTGATTTGGTAGAGATTGTTGAATAAATCGGGTAACAGTTGTATTGTTAGTTTTTTTCTGTTTTGATGCAATTAAATATGATGTACCTGGTTCATTTTCTTTTAAGGCTCCAATCATAAGATGTACCATATATCTTCCACAAGCATCTGTGCTTTCATCAACAATGATGTAAAAATTGCTATCATCCAGTAAAACTTTAATTTCTTCTATTACATTTATATATATAGCATGTACATTTTTTTTTCTGAGTGTATATTCGTCAGGAATGGTTTGATTGCAATATTTTTGTAAAAATTCTCTTAGATGTAGGTTTTGTAACTTCTTTAATGGAATATTTGCCGCAACAAGAGCTTTGCACAAGTCCTGATTAAATACCTCCTTGTCACTTTTTGTTTTGTCAGCGTTTTGAAATGACCTCACAACGCATTGTTGAACCGGTTGTGATTTCATTTTTTGCAATTTGGCTTTATGCAATGATGTTTTCACGTGTTCAACCACTTTGAACTTTTTTTCGTAAACCACTATTTTGGCACAAGCTTTACAAAAAACTTTATCCCCATTGATTTCCAACTCTGGAAAGTTAATAATCCACGAAGAAATTCTCGACATTTTAGGACACTTTTAAAACAACAAATTATTACAAGACTTTTCACTAGGCAAATAACGAGGATACTATCTCATTAAACTGAATGAAAAACATTCAAAATATTCCGATGTTAGGGTAGATTGGTTACAAGAAATTACTGAGAATTTTATATAAACCGTTTTATTGCATTGTAGGTAATACTTTATCTGTGTAAATACCATCTATTAACAATTACCTTAATGGGCTTAATCTCTTAAGAAGGTAAAAACCCAGTGCATGCCACCCTCCAAGAACTAATTAACAAGAATTTACAAGAAGTGACACTTAAAAACAAATACAAAAATTTAAAAGGTCTTTATTTCAAATATATCTGTATAATCTGTTAAAACAGTTTTTGATTTGTATAGTATAGTAATACATTTTTTTTTTTCGAAAATATGCAATATTTTCTTAAATTTTCTGAACTTTGGTAAAATATGCAATATTTTCTGAATTTTGGAAAAATATGCAATATTTTCTGAACTTTGGTAAAATATGCAAAAAATGCATATATATGCATTTTGCATATATTCCGCTCTTTAGTGATTAGTGATGAGTGATGAGTAATTAGTGATTAGTGATATTTTTATTATATCTAAAAAAAATTACTCAAGCATAAGCATAAGTCGTTCCCAGAAGGAAAATTTGTGAGAGAATACTTAATAGAATTGACAAATATCGCGTGTCCAGAAAAAAAAGTTCGCAGAAGTTAGTTCATACAGAATAACAGACATAAGACGAATCAACGCAATTTTCAAAAGAATAAAAGTCGCTTTTGGAAAAGTGTTATTTTCTATATTATATCATTAAACGAAAGCAGCGATATTATTAGTAACTAGTGATTAGTCATTAGCGATAAGCGATTAGCGATTAGCGATGAGTAATGAGTAATGAGTAATGAGTAATGAGTAATGAGTAATGAGTAATGAGTAATGAGTAATGAGTAATGAGTAATGAGTAATGAGTAATGAGTAATGAGTAATGAGTAATGAGTAATGAGTAATGAGTAATGAGTAATGAGTAATGAGTAATGAGTAATGAGTAATGAGTAATGAGTAATGAGTAATGAGTAATGAGTAATGAGTAATGAGTAATGAGTAATGAGTAATGAGTAATGAGTAATGAGTAATGAGTAATGAGTAATGAGTAATGAGTAATGAGTAATGAGTAATGAGTAATGAGTAATGAGTAATGAGTAATGAGTAATGAGTAATGAGTAATGAGTAATGAGTAATGAGTAATGAGTAATGAGTAATGAGTAATGAGTAATGAGTAATGAGTAATGAGTAATGAGTAATGAGTAATGAGTAATGAGTAATGAGTAATGAGTAATGAGTAATGAGTAATGAGTAATGAGTAATGAGTAATGAGTAATGAGTAATGAGTAATGAGTAATGAGTAATGAGTAATGAGTAATGAGTAATGAGTAATGAGTAATGAGTAATGAGTAATGAGTAATGAGTAATGAGTAATGAGTAATGAGTAATGAGTAATGAGTAATGAGTAATGAGTAATGAGTGATGAGTGATGAGTGATGAGTGATGAGTGATGAGTGATGAGTGATGAGTGATGAGTGATGAGTGATGAGTGATGAGTGATGAGTGATGAGTGATGAGTGATGAGTGATGAGTGATGAGTGATGAGTGATGAGTGATAAGTGATGAGTGATGAGTGATGAGTGATGAGTGATGAGTGATGAGTGATGAGTGATGAGTGATGAGTGATGAGTGATGAGTGATGAGTGATGAGTGATGAGTGATGAGTGATGAGTGATGAGTGATTAGTGATAAGTGATAAATATTAGTGATTAGTGATATTTTTATTATATCTAAATTTTTTTTAAGCATAATACTTTTCTCCAGAGTTCGCATCACTCTAAGTCCGAAAATGCAAAAAGAAGTATGGTCGTGTGTGTTTATGTGCATCGGCACGATAACACTAGAGTAAAAGACCGATCGACTTAAAGTTTTGACTTTACTACTCGTATATACTAATAATAATAATAAAGAACCCATTGATTATCAGAATTTTCTGTTTAACTTTTGTACTTTAAATATCAGTATTTTTAAAATGTAATGCATTTCTTATGTGGCTTTTTATGCACTGCGGCGCATGTACTCAATGCCTCGATTTTAATGGATTGCCATGTACGTCAACTCTGAAACCACATATTTTTTCTAACATTTTTAAACGTTAAATAAATGATTTAAAGTTTTTTTAAACGTCTTTTAAAATATTTTATTTAAGTGTTTATTCATTGTAAGTGAAAGTGAACTGGTTGCCACTGGTTGCATAAAGTAGATCATTTTGACACTTTTTACGATTACAAAATGTCACTTTAAATGTCAAAATTAAAAAAATATATAATTGAAAAACTCTTAAAAAACCGCTGTTTTTAATAAAAAAAAAATAAAAAATTCTACTCGTAATTAAAATAGTTTCATATAGTTTGATTAAAATTTAATTTTTTTTTTCAAAATATGGACCAAATAAAAATGCTATTATTTATCGATTCTATTTAAAATTTTAAAAATAATAGCAGTTAGGTATCCAAAATATGAACTGTGATTGGTGGATTTTATTTTTTTTGCAGTGTTCTCACTACCTAGAATGGATATGAAATATATTCGTTTAGTTGAACGCAAAGACATACTTTTCCGTTTTGTAGTCTGTGCGTAGATAAGCTAATATCCATGTGGGTACAGAAAAAAATGAAAAAATGTCTCATTTTAGACACTGACGTTAATGTGCAAACATAGCCCTTTTTATAGCTTTAGAAAAAAATAATTTTCCTACCTCCAATACTGGCATTGTAAGCGACCCCAATACCGCAAAATTGATTATAGGCCACTGCAGCTACTTCCCCTGCACATCTTGTTCCGTGCTTGTTATCTCCATTATCCTGAGGCATTGGATCGTCATCGTTCCCATTGATGTCTGTACTAGCCAGGGGGTCCTGGAACAAAACACAATTTACCAGATTGTTGCGTCACAAAGGCGAAAGCGGAAACGAAACGGAATAAAAAAAAAATGTTTAAAATGTTTAGTTGAATGTTATGGAATTCAAAAAGTATTAGAAATACGAATGTTATTGTTTTAAAATTACATTTTACGCTAAAGGAAGATGAATAAAATTATAGTTTTTAAAAAGTTTACAGTTGAAGGCAAGTAATATAAAATAGTAAAATAATCACAAGTACGCAAAGTAGCCTATTCGTCATGAGCAGCGCACTATAGTTTTTCTACTATCACAAATAATAAATCACCATTTTTTTTATGACAAATTGTAATTTGATTTTTCTTATTAAAATACACACTTAACTGTAACTTTAACTGGCTAATAATAATCTTAAAGAAGAACCATAATTAATGAGACGTAGAGTAAGCCCACATTACATTGGACCAAATAAATAGGCTTTAGTAAAATGTTTAAGTTGGAATAAATACAAATTTTTTTCGATTTTTGTTAATAATTTTACAACCTCTTAATAAATTGTTACCAAATTTGGCAGAGGGTACCACTATAGGCAAATAATATGAATTTTGCCATTTGATTCTAAGAGCCTCGCAAATAGATTTGTGTCTCTTAAAATAGAAAACTACGTTCAGGATTTAGGTTAGGTTAGGTTAACTTTTAAAAAATCAAAATATACAAATTTTTGACAAATTCAAAATTATTTTGATAACTACTACCTTGCATAATAACATGATGTAATTAATCTACGACGTGCCAAAATCTACTAACTTTTTGTTTCATCGATTTTACATTTAAACAATAAAGAAAGCGAATGGGGTATTTCCGAGACTCTAATAGTTTTGTTCGTCTCAAATTTCTAAATAACTATTACAATTTGAAATAGCGGGAGCAATAAGCGGTATTTGCTAATCAAATTAGAACATAACTTTATTTAACTAAACTTTTTAGTAATTTAGACTAAAAAATAAGATAATATAAATCTCATTATTGTGATCTTTTCAAGAAAAAAGCCATTAAAGAGTTCATAGTCTAAATTAACTACTACATTTACTTTATTTTTGGAGCATATAATCGATATTTTTCGGAATTGTAAACCAATCCCATTTACTTAAGTTTGATTTAATTAGGAATGTGGGCCGTGTGACCTCCCCGCCTCGACCTTTTCAGACCTATTGTCCTTTAATCGCTACTTAGAGTACCTTGTCTAGTTTGTTCTTTTGTAGTATATATACGCAATAGGAGGTCCTCCTGTCCACTCTTTGCTATCTTTATATTGTTTTTAAAAGATATATTTTAGAAACATTTCGTCTGAGGGCATTCCCATTATTTGGTCGTTCTCCAGCTCTTTAATAGCTTGCTGTAGTCACATCCATGCAAACTGCTTATGAATGATGGACTTTTAAGCAGTCTTTATGCGACAGACCAGGCTTCGCCTTGTAATAGGTCAACCCACACCTGTTCATTTTATTTTATTTATTCGTATTATGTATTTTATGTTGCCTATTAGTCGAGGCAATGAAGCAGTAAAAAGGCCAAAAGTTTGAAATTTTTTAGATTAAGACGGATCGGAATGCGGTTTTTTGCATTCGCGTCCAAAAATATTTTGGAAATAAAGGCCCTACTTTTCATCTTATACAAACCGAAAGTTGCAGTGCTGCAGCCAAAAATGCATTTTTTGAGACGGCTTTTGGAAGATTAAAGAACTTAGTAAATAAATCGGGTTCCCAGAGGTATACGAAGTCGTTGATCACGATTATGATGTTCAAATTGACCCACAGTCGACCTGGAGCTCAGGAACGCCGATGAACGTCATCTTCGCGGGACTCTCCCGAAATTCACGCGGGGAAGGAGAGAAACTCGGAGCCAGGGGGTTTTTTAGGTCACTGAATTTAAATATGGCATCAGCAAACACCCCCAGGATACCTGGTATGCCGGAATCTGGACGTGGAGTTCATCACCGAGAATTTTCCTGACAAGATCGCTAAAAACAACCCGAAAATCATTGTAGGGGCGTTTTTTGGGCACTTAATCCAAATTTCACGTCGAGAACGACCCTCCAAATACCTAGTGCACCGGAATCTGGCCCTTAACGTCGTCTTCGAGGGGTTTTCTCACACAATCGAAGAAGACGAACCCAAAATCGTTATGGGTTTTTTTTTGGGGCGCTGAATCCGAATTTCACGTTGAAAACGATCCTCCCAACACCTGGTGCACCCGAAACTTCGGGCTGAACGTCGTCTCCGAGGGTTTTCCAGACACGATCGCAAAAGACTAACCGAAAATCGTCTCATAATTTCACACATTCATTGGTGTGTAACTCTCGCCTAGGGCTCTTGAAAGAGTTGATCGAGTCCTGTAAAATTCAAAATGCTGGGTTTGAATAGAGCAAAGAGAATACGAGAATAATCTCCGGTTAGATCTCCGAACTTTGTCGAGCGGCCTTTCACTTTTCTCCCAACGTTCGAAACGCAGAAACTTTTTCCTAAGCAGTGTTGCCAGTTTAGTACAATTGTACTCGATCTAGTACATTATTTAAGAATCTGGTACTCTAGTACACTCGCAGCAAAATCAAGTACTTTTCCTTTTTTTTAGCCTGTTTCCATTTGATGGGCACCGTATCTCTCCTTCACCGCGTGAATTTTGGGAGAGTCCCACGGAGATGACGTTCAGGGTCAGGTTCCAGTGCAACATGTTTTGGGGGGGGGGGGGTCGTTTTCGACGTGAAATTTGGATTCAGCGCCCCAAATAACGCCAACCACAATGATTTTGTCAGGAAAATTCTCGAGGCTGACGTCCATGTCCAGGTTCCCGCATACCAGGTATCCGGAGGGTGTTCGCCGATGCCATATTTGAATTCAACGATCCAACAAACTCCCGGTCGCCGAGTGTCTCTCCTTCCCCGCGTGAATTTCGGGAGAGTTCCACGGAGATGACAATCATTGGCGTTCCTGAGCTCCAGGTCGGCTGTGGGTCAATTTGAACATTATAATCGTGATCAGTGACCTGAAAAACCCCGGCAACCCGATTTGAGCCAGTTCTAATTCTTATTTACAAAGTTCTTTAATCTTTCAAAAGCAGCCAAAAAATGCATTTTTGGAATGCATTTTTGGCTGCAGCAATGCAATTTCCAGTTTGTATAAGATAAAAAGTAGAGGCATTTTTTCCAAAATACTTTTGGAAGCGAATGCAAAAAACTGCATTTCGATCCGTCTTAGCCTAAAAAATTCCGAACTTTTTTGCTTCAATGCTTCGACTATATATGTTACCTGTAAAAAACAAGAGTGTGTGCATTAAGTGACCAGGTGTGTGCCGTCTTCGACAATATATGGGTCCGATCGGGAGTGATGGACCGACACCGATTAATATATGATCGATGCAAAAGGGGTAGTCTTTGCTAAGAGACAGAGAAGAGCATGCCTTTTGCTGCGACAACGGACATGGTTCGTCTGCCAGGTTCCTGATTGAAAGGGTGTAGTAACACCGTAAGGTATCCTGTTTTATTGTTATTATGTGAAAGCTTATGCCATCGAGGGATACATCCGTGAGTACAACAATATACTTACCTATATTGACATTCTTTTATGGTTCATACAAACATTGATCTTTACAAACTCGAATAGTGATTTACCGTTGCCGAGACTTTAATGGTAAAAAGTAACTAGCTCCCGGTGAACAGTGAAGTTATAGTACTTCAGAACCCATATGCATGACTTGATAATACTTGTTTAAATAACTTTTGAAATTGTTTATTCTTTTTTTTTTTATCGATAAATTTGGAACTTTGTGGCTTCTACTTTGTAGACGCACGAAACCCCGACTTATAATTTTTTTAATAAAGGTTTCTGCAAATTATGTTTGTTCAAAATATTGTTTTATTTATAATTTTCAGCGTTAAATGAATATGTGTAGTGGTGTTAGATTTAGCATGACTTCTAGGGCTGATGTTGTCAATCAACGCTTGAGCTCTCAAATGGCCCCACCTTGCCGAGTTTTTGGCCAACATACGACCGACTAGTAGGTTATTATAGGCCTTATGACTCTGGTATACAGCCTTAAGGATATTTTGTAGTTCTGAATGTTTCCACAAAAACTTCGACATAGGTTAAAGAATGTTGTTTTTTTTTGGTGCTTTTTTGCAAGTGTTAATTCCATGTTAACCTGTGGCCAAAGATGACACTCAAGTATTTTACCTCTTGGGCAAATAGAATCGTCACTCTTTTTAGTACTGGTGACTTTAGTCCTGTCAGTACCTTTCGTTTTGTGAAGTTGACTAGTGTGATTTTGTGAGAGCTTACTGTTAGTTCTTCCTCTCTGCACTACTCGTCAACAAGGTTTCGAACGGTTTGTGTGCGCTCCGATATTATATCTGCGAACTTGGCTCTTACGACGATTGTCAGATCATCAGCATACCCTAGGCAGTAGAAATCTGCAGATATTTCCCTTTTTAGAAGTTCGTCCACTAGGACTGACCAAAGGAGGGGTGATAGTACTCGTCCCTAGAGGCATCCCCTGCCTGCTTTAGCCGTCAGTGTAGCTTCGCCTAGAGATAATATTATCCTTTCTTTTAGTTCTATTTACCTGTGTTTACGTTGTTATCGAGAAGGTAATGTCTTTCTTATAAATTATTTTTAAAATTCATTTATGGATGACATGCACATCTGTTAAATGTTAGTTTAATTAATATTTATTGTCCTTTTATTTTGGCGCAAACAGTGCCTATTATATAATTAAAAATATAAAAATGTTAATAAATTATTACTTAGAAAAACAAAACATTTGCTTGATATAATATAAGACTTCAAAATGTCACAAAACATATCAGAAACCTAATAACAGAAAAATAAATTGACACACTGACGACGAGGATGAGAAACATACCGAATATGCGGACCTAATCAAGTTAGCGCTTTAAAATGGGGATTTAATTCGTCTAACAAATGCTGTCCGTTGCATAGTCATCTTCTTTTTATTACAATTAA